ATTGTTTCCCTCCCAGGAGAAGAAGGTGTCAGGCTGCAAGAGCGAGGAGGCGCCTGGGGTGGAAGAGGGGCTGAGCGGTGGCTGAAGTTCCTGGAGGAGACACAGAGTGGGAGCCTGCCCTGCCTTGCTGGCCCTTAGGGGAATTACGAGGACAGGATTTGTCTTGTCCCTTTATTGTCTTCCCCATCACGGCCATCTAGTACCTGGCTACTTCTCTGACTTCCTCTCCCAGAGGCCCACTTCAGGCTCTCCCTCAGCCTGCTATGGGAACACTATGTGTGCAGGGGTCCCCCTCCCACCAGAGCTTTGCACAGGCTATTAGCTTTGCTTCCAAGGTCCTTCACATCCTCCTCAACCAGGTGTGCTCCTACTCACTCTTCTGATTTCAGCTTAAGTCTCACTTCCTCAGACCAGCCTCTCCAGATTTCCCTAATTAGGCCAAAGCCCCTAATTTTAGGCCCACTGCACCTGTGTGCTTCTCTTTTGTGGCAATTATCAAAGATACAAATTTGCACTTTTGGACACATTATTTAATTAACTCCTATCTCCTCTGTTAGTTTCTAAATCCTTTGAGAAAAATTGTTTTTATTGACTGTTGCATCCCCAGTACCTAGAGGAATATCCAACCTGTGCGTGTTCAATATTTGTTGACTGAGTTAACATAAATTGGCTAATCTGCCATTCCCTGGCAAGCTCATGCTCTCCTTCTCCAGGCCTTGCTTTCTCCCTGTTCTCCAATAAGGAAACTTTCAGAAGTCTGTTTCTCATGTTTTAATCTTGAAGCTTGTAAATTGTACATATAAAAATAATTGTTAAATTTTATTGTTTAGCTTGTGCCAGGCATCATTTAAAGTACTTTACAAACATTAACTCATAATAATCTGATGTGGTAGATTCTATCATGTTTCATTGAATCTGAGAGGCATTGATCGTACAACACATCATTGTTGTGTTAACTGAATTCTGAAATGTCATCTCTATTTTACAAATGAGAATTTTGAGATAATTACAGGTTTAGCAACTTGCCCAAGAAGGCTGGTGCTAACCATGGTCGAGCCAGGGTGCAAACCAGGCAGGATGATGCCAGAGCCCATGCTCTTAGCCATGGTGTCATCTTGCCCCCCAAAAAGAGTCACACATCTGGGCTGTTTCTGCATTTCTCAAATCAGATACAGCCCTCCCAGTAGATCTCAGAGGGTATGTAAAGGCACAGGATAAATATGGTGCCACCCATTTGACCATCACTGTTTGACAGGAAAATGTGAAATTGCCTTTACAGTAAAATAAATTATACTCTATTAAAATAAAAAGGGATATATTCAAAATGTGTCCAACGTTTTAGATAGAACCTAAGACTTGTGTTGCTGTTCAGTTAGTGTGTTTCATATTTTCTGAGTACCTTGCTTTGTGGTCAGAGATACACCAAGGAAAATTTGGAGAAACACTGAGTATCGTGGGAGACTCTTGTTTTAACATTCACCAAAGGGTAGGGGAAATACTATGGTAGTCAGTCTCATTCTTCTAAATATTTGAAAATTTAGCCATATAACTTAGGGATAGAAGGAACTTTGCTTCCTGGACCTCTCGTAAGCTGACTGTTCAACTGTCAGTGGGATCAAGTTGACCAGACTAAGAAAATGGGTTAGTGTTTAAAGTAAAAGACATAGGCCTGTTCATATCTGGTCATCTCATAGGTGATACTGAAAATGTTCAGATCTTTGCTGGAAAGGCTTCCATATTAACAGATAGTGAAAAATAAAAATGATTTCACTCGGCAGAATAACATATGAAGGAGACTTTAGACTTAATTCAGACTTCCTGGGTTCAAAAGCCAGATCTGTCACTCACTAGTAGGGTGACAATGGTCAAGTTACTTCAACTGGCGTTCACTTCCCTTATCTGTAAAGTGGGAGTAGGATAGACCATCAGGCCACAGTGAAGCTTCAATGTGGTAATGCAACTACTATGTTTAGCAGAATGCTCAGCACTTAGTAATTGCTCAATAAATATTATTCATATTCATCATTCGTCAACCATAGGAGAATATATGACTATTTCTTTAAAGAGCTGATTATTCTTAATGTGATCAAGCATAATAGACACTTAATCTCTCTTATACAATCAGTTGCTGAGGCCTGATAGTCATTACTGTCACTTTGTTTGATGCTTGTTAGCTTATTTAAAAAATATTTTCTTTAGTCTCTATCTTATAATTTCACCCAGGCATTTACTTATCTCATATAGGATTCTTGCAACTGATTTCTCCTAATTGCTTCTCTCACTCTGGACATCCTCTCAGTTCTGCATTTCACTCATAACTCTGTGTTAGAGAACTTGTTTGCCAGGAGACATCAATATTGTCTCCTATTTACAAATTAAAGCCTTAGCACCTTAACCCGACATTGAGGTCCTCTGTGATCTAGCCCACTCTGGTCTTTCTGAGCTCCTATCCTACTGTCGCCATTCAGGACACTTCCCTCTGGCCTGTCGACTCCTGCATGTGACATGCTGTCCTACCTTTGTGCTTTGGCTCATGTCTTTCCTCCCAGAATGTAATCTTTCTCCACCCTGCTAACCCATACTCTATCAGAACCTCTGCAAAGGGCTCCCCTGACTCCTGAAACTTGCTTTACTTTCTTGCACCCTGGGTGAGATTGCCGTGAGCTGCATGTTTATTTCCCTTCCTCTGCAATTTATTTTAATTAACTTGTGATCCCAAGTCTTGATTCCAAAACATTCATGCTTTGTTCTATCACCCATAACATCTTTGCATTTAACAGCCCCTCAAGAAATATTTTTGACTGTTGAATAAACGAATGAATAAAAAACACCCATGGGTGTTTCCTCTTCAGTGACTTTCCTGTATCTCAGGCAGTGCCCACAGTTTGGAGGGTGGCAGGGAAATCAGGAGTTTTCAAATCCTGTCCCTGACATGAGTTACTTTCACTATAGACTTGAAAATTACCAACTCGCAGAATTTCAAGTTAGATAGTTCAGAGAGGTCCCAAATCACAGAATGTGGGATTCTGCTTTCATTCATCTGAAATAAACTCATTCATTTATTTGCTCATTTTTCCCAAAAATATCAGTTGAGGTACTCCTATGCCAGTCACTGTGCTAGAGCTGGAGATACAGAAGTGAGCATGATGTGATCATTGCTCCAAAGATTCTGGAGTATAAGAGAACCAAGGAGCTCAAACAGCTCTCTGGCATTGGGGCCTGGTACAGCATTGGAGTCTTCCAAATATAGCCCTTAAGCAATAAGCCTCAGAGTGACTGCCACAGAGTGGATTAGCCCTGTGGATGGGGGACGCTATGAGCATTTAATAGAAGAAATGGAGACCTTCCAGAACCCAGCTGTGGATCCCCAGCACTGTCACAGAGGCCTCCTCTGAAGCCGAATAAAAAGAAACAACAAAGACGACAAACCTCTGCTAGTTCTCTTCCCACACCTGCTCTGAATCAATGCTTGCAGAGGGCACCTGCCAAGTGAGGGAGACAGCCCACTTTTGTCCCTTGGAGTATGGCCGGATTGGTGCTCCACCCACTGCTAGAAAATTGTGCTTTCTGCTGTTATAATTGTGCCATGTAGACTTCATCTGTGCACCTAACATTCTGTCACTACCAGCAACTCGAGGGGGTGGTGAGAAGGCAGGAGAGGTGGTGGGAGGGAGGGGCCTCCTTCCACCTCTCTGTGGGGCTCAGAGTAGGAGATCCATACCTCTAGGCTCTCTCCATGATCCTCAAGGGCAAAAGACAATTTAGTATAAACCTGTGTATGATCAGCTGGACATACACCTCTCCTCTTGCCACCTCCCTTGGGTTTGACACTCCTTGTTGCCTTCAAGGAAATTCCCTTTTCTGGGCCCATACCTCAAACCTCAAGGGAACTGCTCCTTCTGTCCAAAAACAGGAGATTCAGACAGAATAGAAAGCCAGAGTTACTTGACAATGAAGGGCAGTAGCCTTTCCCTCACAGGCTACAGGATATTGGACACGCAGTGATGGGAAGTTACCTCCCTGAGTTACTGCTCCTGGATGAAATGTTTAATGGTGTTGCCCAGGAAATATTGGGGCATCAGCTCAAGCTCCAGGCAGGAACAGATTCTTCATGCCAAGCGTGCTTTTAGTTCTACTTCCACCCCCAGAGCAAGCACAATGAACAGATCAAGGCAAAGAGAATGCTGCTGCCAGAACAAATATGGCTCCTGGGGCCCAGGAGAGACTGACACAGAAAGGCAACCTCATGCTGGCGTTTTCATTAACAAAGAGGCAGCTGGCATCTGGCAGAACTGAATGGAGGGAAGCATGGTCTACAAAAGGAATTAAGTGGTAAAGACTCTATACTTACAGACAGCATTCTGAGAAAGTACAGAAACAGATTGAGACTTAGCAATAAGCATTCTGAAGCAATAGGGACCCCAGAGGGAGAAAATGATGTCTCAGAACAGACAACAGCAGTGTGTAAGCCTTAGAAGAATATCCAGAGACTATCCCCATGTGATTCCCACTGAAAAAGGAGTATTGCCAAGGTAGAGACAAAGAAGTCAAGATGGATGTTCACAACCCACCAATATTCAGATGCAGGAGCATCAGTACAGCCCATGGTATTCCGTGTCCACGATGGAGTGTGTGTTCAGATATTCTCAGATGTCTCATTGTTGTCAACAATTGTTGGTCATTTTCACAAAGTCCTACGCTAAAGAACAATTCTTCAACCACATAGACGTGACTATTAAAGTCAAAAGCCTAATGCCCATATTAGACTAACAAATGCTCTTTTAAACTATGACTTTAATTCTCTCAGATATGGTCCATGTTACTTGTGTGCATGCAGTAGTTTGTGAAAGTGCCCTCCCTGAGTTGCAGTATGTGCAACTGAAGGAGAGTGGGAATGAAGGTGATTCCTAGAAGCACGTGGTTAGAATCCTCAGCAATTCTTGAACCTCCTTTTTTGTCCCACCCAAGACACATGCCACCAAAGATAAACACCAAAGGCATGGCCAGTCTTTTCATTTTTATTGCTTTAACATCCATGGTTTATCAGTTGAGCAAATTATTAATAAACTACAGAGTGACGTAAGTAGAAATAAAAATATTATTTCAAATAATACTACGTAACTTCAAAACAAACCCAGTGTTACACGTGTGAAATAATTCAATTGAGAGCACAATGAAAGCAAATTTTTCATTGTTCCAGTTAAACAGAAAAGGCATGCAGAGTCTCAAACAAGGAGTATTTGGGCTTCTATGTCAATGTCATGAGGGTATCAAAGAGCTTTTTCTATTCCTGGATAAATAATTCATTTTTATTGATTGACGAAATTGACTTTAAGGGTAAATATAGACCAGAAAGATCTACAAGTACTTTTGCCAAAGTTTATCTATAGCCAAACCATAAAACAGCTTTGAATCGGCCTTACTATAGCAGGCGGTTCGCTCAGCCCCACTCTGCCTTCCACACAGCAGAGTGAGATGCGCGAGCGTGGTGGTCTAAAACACCTCCAACGGCCCTAGACTTCAGCTCTCAAGAAAGTGCTGCAATAAACGTGACTATTGTCGATTGCTCACTTTGATTTCGTCTCAGAGGTCTTAGTTTAGATCTGCCTTCATCCCACATATTGCCATCAGACATGTTACTAAGTATAAGCTCTCAAAGTTGCTGTTTGTAAAAGTACATAAAGTAAGTGATTCCTTTTTTTTTTGCCAAGTCACTATGGAACTAAAAGCATAATCAAAATGGAAAGCAGGGGCCTCTGGAAATCTTTCACCAAAAATTTTAATTCATAATGACCCAGCTTCCCCAAGAAAATTTTATTTTAAATCTCAACTATTAAGTACCAAACTGGGCACAACATATGCTACTTCTGTTTTCAGGAACTTGCTAGTCATGTATATGGAGGAAAAAATCATTCTTCTGTCATTCAAGTCCAGTGAAATTTTCTTTAGAGAGACTGGACCGCACAAGGAAAATTTTCAAAATCAACAAGAAGCACAACTTAAGCCTGCAAGACAGTTGCTGAAATTCTCCCATGGACATATTGTATAGCAACAAACAAGAACAGAGAGCTATAATGGCGCAATTTGGCAAGCAATGGAAAACTCTCTCTACAGTATTTTTTAAATTAATTTTATGTTTAAAGCCTCAGGAAGGAGGAAAGTTCTGTTTAACTGAGAGCATGAAGTAACATCTCAGACTTGCCCATTTTCTTTATTAATAAACACTCCAGCCCAGATTTGATGTTAGAAGCCCCGGTCAAGAAAACCCATCTGTCTAAGCTAGACTCTCAGTGAATACCACAGAGAGGTTAACATAAAGATGGGAAACTGAGGTGACAAGCTGAGGGCTGGCCTGAGACTGTGTAATGTATGGCTGTCAGAATAGAAAAAAAAGTTAGCTGCAGGCCTTTGAACTGTTGATTTAATTACTGAGAAGGGCTTAGAATGTTTAAAGAGATGCTACATACCTTCAAGATCAAGTAACCAGAACTAAAAATAAGTACTCCTCTTGAAAATGCAAAGGAAAGAAAACTTTAGAACTAGAAACTCTCTCATTGGAAATGAAAACACAGGGACCACTCTGCTAATATCATTTAAGTGGCTTTTGGATATCTTACACTGAAGACATTGGTAGAGATGATTGTTAGAAATCTAAGCCTTTTTCAGAGAGAATTTCCTTCTTGAGAGCTTCCTTTCCTTATAGTTGGGAACAGGCACCATCGTGACTGCCAGGTACCCAAAGGTGGAGACCCCAAATAAACACATTTCCAGTTTGAGGAAACACCTGTGGCCCCACTGTAAGAGAGGTAAGGAAGTCATTTAACAACTCCAGGCCTGAGATAGGGAGGCACATCCAGCAACATGGGCAAGAAGAATTCTGCCTTCGGTGGGTTCTAGGAGGAAGGACTATGTAAAGTTATAGGACTTAACTCACCTACAGGCAGGCACATCCTGCATACACTTGTGATCCCCATAAAGAAGGAAATATATATTTGCTATAATTGGGGTCAGTTTGGAACACAAAGTTTACCTTATTTCAATAATCCTTGGCCAACACTCCCCTGAGATCTATAATTTATAAACCCACAGACACAGACCAGCTGTAAAACTGGAAAGAAATGGTGTCAACAAATATTTTTCACCAATCAATGCTGAAGAAGGGTGGAAATGGGCATTTCCACTGAAGAGTTCTCCTTTATGGGAACAAAAGTAATTTGGCAAGAATTTTCATTTTATTTCAGATCACATAGATGAAATATTCACCCCTTATGTATCTGATACTCTACATTCAGTTTTAAAGATGAGAATATGCCGCTAATTACTTATGCACCTGTCTTTTACCTGCTTTGAATGATATAGGTATGGATTAATATTTTTTTCAAGGTTTTGATCTTTTTGCTCTTACATAGGAAGTCAGCTAGCATTTGAAATGCCTATCTCATTTTCAACTGAAAACCCCAATCCCAGTTTCCAGGAAGTCTGGATGACGTGGTAGCTAAAAGTTCAGATTTTAGAATGCAACAAACCCAATTTTAAAGGCAGTGACTTTTCGAGCAAGATTCTTATCCTGCTTAAGCCTCAGTTTCCTTATCTATGGAATGGAGATAATAATGTTTGTCACATAGAGTTACTGAGAGCATTAAATACATAACAGCATTAAGCACAGAGCTGGCACATGAGAGCAAGGATCCCTGTTTATTCTGTTATGTGGTATATCCTAAGAACTTAGAGCCTGAAACATCATAGTTACTCAATACTATTTGTTAAATATATGAATGTGTGATTATCCTGATTAGCTCTGACATTGGGAAAAATTTCACCCATCATCAGCCTAGAAAAGCAGCTGAATTTCCCTTTCTCATCTGGCAAACAATACTACTAAATCATCCTCAAAAGTCATATCATCCATCCTCCTGCCTCTGTCATGACTTCACTCAAGCCACCAGCAACAAGTGCCCCATCCTAGCCTTAAAATCTTCCTCAGGAAGAGGCTGCCTAATCTTCACTCCTCCTCCCTCTGGCTGTAAAAGTTATCTGCTTCTGCAGCCGCCTTTCTTATTCTCCCTCAAACCTCTGTCACTTTCTTAGCCCTGTTCCTTTAGGACTGCTCTGTATTTACTGCCTTTTTTTCTCCAACTTGTCAAACTTGTTTTGAAAACCAATTCTTGTGTTTTGTTTCCCAAAACCAATGGGGACTGTTGGATGTCATAAGCCAGCCTGCAGCCATGAAATATCTCATCCCCGAATCTACATAAGGGCCAGCCCTACAAACCATCTACTGCCTGCAGACGGGATTCTGGTAAGGTTGGGTTCCATTTGGAAATGGGTCTCTCAGTTAGTATTAATGATCTTCTTTTGAAGTGTCGAGGAATAGATCCTATCTATCCTGGTAGGGGGAAAAAATTCACATGTAAAATGATTAATGTTGTAAACTATGCTTTCTTTTGCTTTAATAGAAAATGTTTCTTGTTCATGTGAATTGGTTAAAAATAGCCAAAAAAATGAATTTAAAATTTTAATTCTTCTTTTGCTCTCTCTTCTTTTACATGTGTGGGATAGTTTTACAGCCTTGATTCGGATCTCTGTAGTTGCATACACCTAGTTTTAAAAACATCCACATTTTCTTTCCTAATAGACCCAAAGGGCCAAAATGAAAACTTTCAACTACTTTATATATGGATGCTTCTGTCATTAGGTCTAGCTTGTTTATTTGGCAGTAACATGAAAAATATTAATACTAAAGATATATCATAATGGTATGGGAAGAGAGTTATGACAAAAGAAATACTATGGGGTTTTCATCTGAATAAGTGTGGTTTCCTGGTATATGATATGTAAATGAAAATGATGCATGAATATAAATTTTTCAGGTTGCAGAATTTTTCCTAGGATACTTAAAAAGATTTATTGAAATAATACGCAAGCTATAATCTTTTATATGGATGTCCCTAAACTTTCTGATCAAGTCAAACAGAGCTATTTCTGACTTTCTAAACAGAAAAATGGCTATTGATTCCTAAATATGCAATAAACAGGCTGTCTTAGCAGAAGACAGGCTGACAAAAGAAAGTTCAGATTTCATTCCACTTGAGATTCTGATGCCTGCTTTGTTGACCTAGAGAATTATTTACAATAATACTGACACAGGTTGGCAATTCTGCAATGAGCTCGCCAGAGAATGGTAAACATCACCAGGAAAAGCCTCAGATCTCCTTCCATTCATTCTGCCACTACACAGAAATCTGTATCCATGGGAACCACAATCCTTAGCATGGAAGTGTGCATTTGACACGGAAAGGGTAAGAATGTTTTCTGGAATAGAAAAAAACAAGGAATAATGCTGCTGGGAATTAAAATTCATAATTTTAACTAGAATGCTACAGGATATATTAATCAATTTATATGTGGGTTAGATACCTAGGGAGATGAGAGATGGGAGAGGGATATTTTTGGTGCATGAACTAAGAGGAAAGGACATCAATTGGAGTAATTGACTGGGATGAGCAAGCCTGACTGCATCATTCTGGCAGAAACTTGGCAGCAGTTAATAGTATGATACCTCACCCAGGGATGGGGGAGATCAATAGACCTGGACAATTGAAGGTGTAGAAAGAAAGTCTGTCAACTTTCTCCATTGTCGGACACTAGTCTTTTCAGCCACTTATTATTGAATTTGAGGAGCACTAATTGCTGGGTTTGAGGCCCAAAATGGGCACTTAACTGTGGGGTCACAATTTTAATTATCTTTCTTTAGTAAGGCTTGAAAACTGACTTCCTTTGAAGGGTAAGTGTCTGTTAAATGTGCAAGAATGCCAGACTGGAAAAATGGACCTTTCTGTACAGGTAGGGAGATCTTTACCCGTTATACAGAAGGAATGTTATGGCAAACATTTGTTATACTAATACTGATAAATTAAGAGATTTGCAAAGGCCAGAAGGCACATTTAAGATTATTGTATTTTCTAATGCATTCATAGTTTTTACTCATGTCATAAGACAAACAGAAAGGGGATAACTAATAAATTACCTTTGAAATTTAGTGTTTGAATTTTTTTCTGACTTATCGTCGAGTTGTTTCCAGAAACTCCATTAGAAATAAACAAAAATTTTGATCCAATAATTTCCACTTGTGATAAATAAAAAGGAGAGATTTACATTTTTCACCTTTCCTGTTTGATGAAAACCTTCCAATTTTTCAATTAGAAGAATCTTCAGCGGATTATGAGTTCATGAATATTTTCTAGGTTATCATTGTGATTTCAGTCTAATGTTTGACAGGGATGCTGGTGGTTAACCAGGAAGGAATCGACCTTGTAGGTTGAATAAACCCTCTTCTCCCTCTCAAGGATTTTTGTTTTTTCCTACATAAAGTAACACAAATTGATTTCACTAAAAGAAAAAGGTGAGTTTTGATTAGCAGGATAAAGCAAATGTGTCATCAGAAGAAGCACCAGTCTCTGTGATGTGATCTCAGAAGGTATAGATGGGTCACCAAAGCCATCATTCTCATTAAGAAATTTCTGCCATTCCCATGCAGGGGAGGGGCTTCCCTATAAATATACCCACTACATTCATATTTACTGATTAGGTTCATTTAACTATGCTTCATAATGCAAAGATTTGTTAACATATTTGTTGTTAATTTTCCTTGCATATAAGCACTTATATTATCAGCAGGTTTGAATCAAACTAAATCTTGAAATGCCGCCCACTACAGGAATTCCCTCTGGAGCACAGATGTCTTTCTCAGCTCTATGCATCTGGTTCATATTGCACCTTCGATCACTACGGCAGATTTTACTGCTGGCACATTCGCCAAGTTAATTTTTATATTGTTTTGTTTAATTATAGTTGTTTGTTTTGAGCTAAGCTGGAAATGTACGTACTTTGAAGAGGAGGCCTTATTCACATCTTGTTTTGGGTAAAGAGTCAGTTTTTTTTTAAGATATAGAGGTTATTTTGGTAATTGTAAATTTCACGTTATTTCTGTTCTTTTGGCATCTTATTCCAACCTGTGGAAAGTTGATGCAGGATCAAAGGGACATTAGATTTTCTAGATGAGACTCTTACAATTCTTGAGCATGTGGCTTTAGGAACTAAAATATACAGCTAGTAATTTGGTGATTTTTTTAAAATTTGTTTTCTTGACTAAATTAAAAATTCACACTTCTACCTGAGAAAAGGAGGTATCATAGATGTTACTCTTGCAACATCTACTCTTAGAGCAGAAATGATGGTAGCATCCCAACAAAAGACACTCCTTATTTTGCCTCATTTATCTAGATAGTTCTGGAAAATTGAATTAGCTGGATTCCCTTATTCCTTTCTGCACTCCCTTCTCTTTTAGGGAGTGGACCTGTCCAGAAAAATTATTGTGGGCCAGTGCATAGTACAAGACAGGGAGAAGCTTATTGCTTTCACTTTCTAGGAAGTTTACGTGGTGAGCCCAGGCAAGCCAGAATTTTAGAAGAATGAAATAATTTACTACAATAATAATGTTAACATTTCCCCATAACTAATAATGATGTCAAATAAATCCTTTTCCCATGCCATTTTGCTCAAGATAACATACACATCATGCTCTCAACCTTTATGCATTTTGATGTTTCACACATACTTTCACCCAGGTTGATCTTCCTAACATCAACTGGTGCTGCATGTTTGAATTTTACTTCATCAGACTAAGATGGCCTGATTGTTGAAACAATTCATCAATGGCAATGTTGCACAAAGTAAAGTTACAATTATGGTATCATTTTGATAAAGTAGAAAAGAGAATGCATGTTTCAGATCCTGTGAATGGTAACTCTATGCATGAGAAAAAGTGAAACTTAAATTTAATTCCTCCAAAGAGCGAGAGCAAGAGTGAGAGTGTGAGACAGAGAGAAAGAGCGAGGAGAGAAAGAAGCAATGCGCTCGACTCTGAGACTATTATGAAGTCCATTATGAACTTAACTAGGGATGAGCACAGTGATTGGAGTTATAAAATGACCTCAATGACTTTTATTTGAAAGAATGTTATTAAAATTACTCCAGTTTCATTGCCATTAACTCTACTTCATAGTTCAATGGTACAATTCACACAGTTATATTTTACTCAATGCCAAAAGGTGTTTCAAATTTGTCTTTTCTTTTTAATTACAATTGTAAGCTGATACATATGGATTTTTAGAGTCATGCAGAACTCCTTGTATTTCTGTTGTCATAACTCACTTGAGGATATAGTTAGGTGTCTCATTTCCCCAGTGGGTGAGAACTCTTCCTCCACATATGTATTCTGATGGACCATTTAAGCCCAACACTCAATGTGCAGAACTGCTAAACACAATGGAATCCTAAAAGGCACATTGTGGCATCAAAATTCATTATAACCCTTATAATGTTAATAAATTGCTCCATTAATAATCAAGGCTCATTTAAAAATCCAGGAAGTAGCTTAATTGCTCAAGCTTGGTTAGTTTCTGATGAATGTTGGCCTAATTAGTTGACAAAAGATATAGACATCTAGAGATTGAACTTTTTTTCCTATAGCAGGAATCACACGTCTGTCAGGTCAGGTCATGTAAAGAAAGTATGGAGATTAAATGGGAAAATATTTTATGAAGTCTTTTGTTTCCATTTAAAATCAAGTCAAGACTTCAGGTCAATGTTTTAATTCAAAATGAAAATGTTGAGTGTACTCAAGCTATTACAGATGACAGGTCTCACTTGAGTCTTCTATGTCCATTTGGTAATGAATGTAAGATATTCTCTGTGATGGGAAAGGCTGAATGACACCCGAAGCTTTCATTCATTCAACAAGCATATCTTGATTACTTATTAGGTGCTGGCCATACAGAGATGACAATGACATGATCCCAAATATGTGTTACTAATGTTGATTCAGCCTCCACTGTTTTATGTTATTTGTGGGTTATACTCTAAAAGTTAGTGAACTCACAGAACTAATGAAGTGTAAAAATAAAGCGGTGTGTTTAGCCAGGACTTGTAATATAGGCACTAGAGTAAATGGTTTCAGTAGACATGTCTTCCTCTAAATTCACTCATGACTTGCACTGGGTGGATTTTTTTCTTTGCCGAGCCTCGTCTGACAGCTGCACAAGATTCCTCGGGCTTCTCTCTTTTAATCAAGGGTTTCTTTGCAGGAGCCTTCATTCTCCACATCACAACTGGGTGCCGGGGCCCAGCAGGACTCTGAATTCGGATGATCTTGGTTGAGGCAATATAAGACATCTTCACTGTTTGCACTACGGCATTCATTAAATTTTTGGCTGCTTGGATCAGGGAGGTAACACTGTCCAACTGTAGGGAAAAAAACAGCTGTTATTCAAGAAGGCAATCAGGAATTTAAAAAGATTTAATACTACAGAAGTTGAAATGTGCTACTTTGTTTTTACCCCAGAAATGGATGAGTTAATCTCCATTTTATGTATCTATGTAAATTATCTACATCAATCTATTTTTGATCATTCATATATTTATCTGATGCATAAATAGATCCATATTCCATCTTCTAAGGTGATAGAGAGATTAATTTCTTTCTCTTGGTTTTCAGTGAAATGGATTCTATAAATCCTGTAAAATACTCTACGGTCCACGTGGTCACTGCTTTCTTTGTAACGAATCTCCCTATTTCCAGGGGTAACGCTGAGCGCTTTCTATAGGAGACGACTATCTACGATAAAAGCTATATTATCTATAAGTCAATTTATAAGAACAACAACTGAAAATTCTCCCTCTCATGGAATTTATATTTTAAATAGCTATCATACACACATCACACATACAGATGTACACATGCATGCATACCACTCACTCTCATGAATATTTCCCAAATAATTCCACCTAAGAGAGTTTCTTTTTTAAACACAGAACTTTTCAACCTGTCACGCAGTGTGTTAAAGTAGATAAAGCCAAAGCTTTTCAGTCAAATAAAATTGGGTTTAAATTCCGGGTGTGCGATTTGATAACTTGGACAAATCATTTAACCATTTTCATCCTGGTTTCCTCAGATATTAAATAGGGAACAAATGCTTATTTAAGTTAAATAATATGTGTAAAGAACCTAATAGAATGACTGCCAAATGCTTGATTGTTATTAAATATCATTTCCTTTGTTTCTTATGAAGACTGACAAAATTGCTTAATTTTGAAGATGCACTAATGAAATTACTAGGAGAAACATTTTCCCACATGACTCTGATTTTAATTGTTATGTTTTCTGGGTTGTTTATAAAAACAATCTCAGGGGAAAATGGGGTGATATTCCTTCAATCTTGCAAAATGCCTCAGAGCTACGCCAAGTTGGTTCATTTTTATACAACTAATGCCTCTCCCATTATTTTCGTTTGGCAGATTGTCATCCACAGCCAACTCAGACAGAAAGATGTGCCTCCACTGTCACCTGCCTGTGATGTGTGCTGTCAGGGTTGAGACTCAAACGCTGGCTCTGTAGTTACTAAAATTCACCAGCAGCTGCCTGGCCTGAGTTTTCTGCCTTTGCAGTTCGACGAGTCTCATCTCACATACAGAATAAATGAGCGACGGAAAGTCATAAGCTGAGGTTATGTGCCTGGGGCAGTGGTCTAGCTGGCTGCTTCCTAGGAAGAAAATTTAATTAGCTCCATTATATGCCAAGCCTGAAATCCTTGAAAAGGTAACCCCCAAAAATATGTAATGTGAAAGGCAGTAATACTTGGCAACTACATATCTTTAAGTCTTTTTACTTATTGAAGCCGTAAATGTAAAATTTGTGCATGTGGCAGGAATGACAAATGGTTTGCAAACATTAAACAGGATTTCATGAAGCACTCATGTATTGCAGAGAACACCGAGAGCTTCTGAATCTGTACTCAACTTAAAAAAAATAACAACAATAGACTTTGAATAGAATAACACACTTTGTTATTAATGTTACTCTGTGTACAAATTGCAGGCTAAAATCTGTCCTCTAATAGTTAGCAATTTTCATTGAAATCTTCCTGGAACCAGTTAGATTCTGAAAGGAGTCTCCTGTTTCACCATAGGAGAGAGAAAGTCTTTCTAAATGATGAATTAATGTAAACAGTATTGAGAATCCTTGGTAATTTTCTCTCTCAAACATGAAAATATTTGGTTTACTCCAAAGACTCTGCGCTGCCATAAAGTATTCTGGAAAATCCTAGGGACCTGCTTCATTCAGGATTTCACCAGTGGCTTTTGGCCTTCCCACTCTAACACTTACATTCCCTTCTTTTCCTTTTGACTCTGTAATCTTGTCATGTATAGATTGTATTTATTTCATCTCCTTTAGATTTTTCCATGTAAGCATATATATAAACCAGGAGTCTAGGGAGGATGTTTAAGACCAATCCATGCCTTAAAATGTGGAAACTGGATTGTCTTCTTTTCTCACTGCTTCAGCAAAGCCCTGTCTGTGCCACTGTAATCTCTTATGCTGGCCTCTGACAAATCCCTTTATTTTAAAATGCTAAATGCCTGTAGTAAAACCTCTCTTCTGGGTAACTCAGAAAAACCATAGGACAAATTATCCCCCTAGGAGAGCATGAAGACTAGCTTTGCAGGCAGATTAGGACAATTGCTGCAAGAATACTGTTATTTCAGGAGGAAAACTTGTAAGACATTCTTTGAGGATCTTGGAGGTCTAAGGGCTATGTGAGCCAGGATGCATAACTCTCTGCTATTAGCAAATCGCAGGCCACACAAGCAATGGGCACAGACAAGCCTAGCAAATCATAGGGAATTTTGTTTGAGGCTCAAGCAGTGGCTCAGGCTTACTCATAGAGAATAAATGCGTGATTTCATGTCTGCAAAAAATTTTTGTAAGTTCTCTTATCCAGATCTACTTTCATGAAAAATCCTTCAAGGGAGGGTTTCAATAGAATCCTTTTTGTAAAAACAAAGGCAAATTTGAGTAGGGTAAGGCATCACTTTAGGGTCCCTGTGCTCAATTTATTGAACAAAGTTTTCTGAATTTCTTGCAAGACAAGAATGTTAATTTACTCTAAAGGTCCAGTACAGTAAATCAATCAGACTAGAAAATGAGGTCCCCAAATTCTCTTACCATTAGAAATCATTTTCATCAACTGAAAATTCTTCTATACAAAGGTAACTTGAGATGTTTACCATAGAAGGAGCTATTTTCTCTAACATCAGGTAACATCCCTCTCTGATGTAGTTGCAGTGTTCTTGATCAAGGTATCAATTGAGAACAAAAATTGCTTCTAAGACCCTCAAATCTCCTAAGGTTATATGTAAATATTTGCAGGCACGTACATATAAGCAGCTTCTTATCTACCCCTTTCCATAAAAGGAGACAAGGTTTTAAACAACTTTTCAAAGAGAATTTTGGCCTAAATGAAAGGCCTCTGTCCTAGACAAATCAGAAATTTGCTCTTGTACGGTAGTAAATAGGAAGATGGCTGCCATTCCTATGCTGGTGACTTGTGCTTCTTCTTACAATACTGGGGAGGTTTCAAAATAACTGAGCTTGCTGACCTATTAATGTCACAATAAGTTTCTCAATATTGCCTATGTCCAAACATAGATTGGTAAGGCCTGCCTCTTCTTTTTCTCTTTGAGTATCTAGATGAATATACAGTGATTATGTTAAGTAAGTTGGTTCTTTAATTGCAAGATGTATTTTGCAAATAATGCAAATTATAACCATCTAAATAGAGTCCTACCCAATACTATCATTCCATAGGAACCTTAGTTTATTTTCTTGTAGTGTCTCTTCTGTGCTTTGGGGTATGTACTCTGTGATTTCAGTTAAGCTACAGTACAAATTTGTCCAGTTCTAAAAATGTTTTCAGACAAAAGTCTCAGCCCTACTTAGAGATAAGTCTACAAGCCTTTGCTACGAAAAAGAAAGAGTTTAACAACATAAGAAATATTTTCTTTTTCCTCATAAAATGTCACCTTTCTGTCCATGCGACTAGTATACATAGGACATCTGGATCTTTTTACAAAAACCAACACGAAATACTTGTCATGTAAGTTTTTGACAACTATGTCAACACGGAATGTCTGCTGGCAAATCTTTGTCAAAATTCTATTGTAATTATTGATGGCCAAGAGGAAAATTTCTAAAAAGATGTGCTAGCTATTCCTTCTTTTGATTTTCTGTTTCTCATCTTTATTACATCGGAATACCAGAATGTCTTATTCTTGTACTATACTGCTCGACTTCCCCATATTCTGGATACAAGGCCTTTATAAGATATACGCTTTGCATGAGGATGCTGAGCCTAAGCGAACCTCACTCATTGATGTGGATCTCATCTTCTTGCACCTGGGCTGTCACCTGGGGAAAGCATACCTTCCCAACCCCTGTGTGAACTGCCATGTCAACTAATGCTTCTGGGACTCCTATGGAGAGAAAAGCCTGATGTTGCCTGAAAATTCCTGTCCCATAAACTTCTGAGTAAACTGGTGCCAAGTGTAGCCTATGACATTCTTGCGAGTCTCAGTGTTTACCTGAACTTAAAGACCCCTGGGGGATGTTGCACCTGCACAGAAGCAATACTTGACAGGCAAATGTGTGGAGTTTGGCTTCAAGTATAATAACAGCTTATAATAATTGCTAATATCTATTGTATGCTTCCTGTATGTTGGTGCTATTCTAAGCAGTTGACATAAATTAATTCACAGCAAACTTATGAGGTAAGTATTACTATTATCTCCATTTTATAGATGAGAAAACAAAGGACCTGGAGAGTTTGGTAGCTTGCTCAAAGCAACACAGCTATTACATGGTAGAGCTGGAATTTGAGCCACGGCAGACTGGTTCCAGTAACGGGTGCCCTTCCCATTGCACAACCCCGCCTCTCAGGAATATGTCACTTCTCCTGTGTGTTTATTGTTGGATATCTAATAGTTGGCAAAAGTGCACTAACATAGTACAGTGTCTAAAATAAAAGAATTGACTACCCAATAACTGCTTTGGGGAAGGTTATAGAATTTTTGCAATGTATATCGTTCCTAAGAAAAATGAGGGTATCTTACTTGCCAAGGTACTTTGTTAGGATGGTGGTTTGATAATGTTTATACTCCATCATTTTCCAAGTAGCACTTTTCTTGAAATAGTAAATAGAAATACTCAGTCATCCTTATAAGCCCCAAACCATCTAAAGACTTTTAAATTAAGACTTTTCTAATGAAACATTTTTAAATTTTAAAATGTGGATCTCAACAAACAAATCAATAAGGCAAAGAAAAACCATAAACAAATTGTATAATAGCTTGTAGGACATGGAATTGCATAACGTTTACTTCATCTTTAAAATATGTCCTGGTGTAAA